AGAGGAAACTTGAGCGAGGTCATTAAAAAATATGCAATAATAAAAATGACGATGACTAGGTATAAAGCTGAGATAAACACAGTGTGAAAAATAAAATCTAAGCAGTGACTTGTTCCATCCATCAGTATGCATACGTATTATATGGATTTTTGCATTCTGAGATTTTTCTTGAATAAATGCATAAACATCTGCAATGTAACGATGACTCTTGAAACTTCCTTTCTCTCAGACAGTTCTCGTCCCATGTGCATTCTTCAAATCTCTTCTCACTCGCTATAGATATTCCAATACAAACTTATTCAAAATCATTTACCACTTATAGCTTATTTACGAAATAAGCTGTAAATAATTAGGTAATTTTAGATACAAATAATTTATAGCTGATTTCTCACAACACGTTTCTTAAGATCCAAATAATAGCCACCTGTCCTCCCTTTTTTTTTTTTTTTTTAGATGTCACATGAACATCGACTTGCAAATAAGTCAAAGTGCGACTGAAAAAGAAAGGAAAGAAAGAAAGAATTCTGTTCTGACATTCGAGACCAAGTGATGATGTTCTAGAGAACATAATTACGCAAACGTGCGTTATGTCAGCTAAGCGCCCGGTGACCCGTTACACAATCGACGTAGCCTGACTTCCAGAATTTATTTTTATTGACAAGACTAGAGCTTCTTCGATTGATAATCATCGTTCAAATCAGATCTCTGCCGCTATCGATACCGAAATGGCACGATTTCCAACGATTTATCTCGACGATCTAGACGAATTCTTAACCGGTTCTAATTATCGAGAGAGGAGAGAGTAAAGCAATCGAGGAAAAGCAGATGCTCGAATGTAAACGCGTGCAACTAATCGCGAATCGTTCTGGATATTTCTGCGAGTCAACGATCCTAAGTCGCTCGATTATTCGGCCGATAAGCGAGTTTCTAATCCATGTTAAGAGATTAGAGAACATAGCATTCTCCTGAATCGGACAAACAGCGTGACGTCTACTTCATTTTCCATGTTAGAAAATACGGTTATCTATGATTTTTTAATTAAGCATTGTGATTCGTAAGAAATTCGTTCTCACTCACTCGTGCTGATGCTGATGATAGTTGTTATCTTTGTACTATTAATTTTTAATTTCAGTTTAGGAAGAGCTCGTCGTCGAAGGAACGACCTGGTTAACAAGTTAAAGATTATTCGTTTAGCATAGGAGAGATGTAGTGAAGTAAAACACTTGAAGAAGCTGGTTGCGACGAAAGCTCAAATGCGAATTCGTTAACACCGGTTAATTAGACATGCTTGTTCTGTAGTTTCTAAAAAGTGCGGCCTGAATACAACGGACGAATATTTCCCCTCGCAAATACTCTCTGTGTTGGCGCGTACATGTGTAAAATACATATCTGTGTATAGTTATATAAAGCCATACGCTTAGGTACAACGTGTATAAGCACATTCAAGGTTGCTGAAGCGAAGCATGATAGGTTGCATCGCGTTGGTATACGCGGGATTCGCGTGTTTTAAATGCATTTCAGCAGCGACGTCTACCGTAATATGCGGCCGGCCATATAGAACGATATTCGCGTGAAGCGTGAACCATCTAAAACGCGGCTTTTGCACAAATTGCTGGTATCAGCTTGAAAATCGTGCGTGGGCGTTCGTGACACACTGATCCCTTAAGTTTGGCCTCGTTCAAGAAACAGACTTTCGACTGGTTCAAACAAATCTTTTCCGTGATTACCAGCGGATATCTCGTTGCACAAATATATTGAGTTTCGCAGATTCTTCATCCGAGGGAAACAACTCGGTTCAGCATTAGAAATATCTTTGTAAATATTTCTATAAATATTCAATTACAATGTTACAAAAGTCCTTCCCTTGATTGAAGCCGGGTGCGAAGAGATTTTCCTTTTCTGTAGAACATTTCTTGAAAAATGTACTCCCCCAATATATAACGCGGTTCACTTATCCAAATCTTATCTTATTCGTATATATTGACAATACATTTTTGCTCAAATATCTATCAATTGACTCACAAGAGTTCACGGAAGCAGTATGTTATCACACTTTTATTTTTATACATTTACAAAGATGAAAATTTCCTACGAAGCAGAAAGAGCTCGAAGGTCCCGAATTCTGAAGTATTTATTTTTACAGGAGGCGTGAATGAAAATCACCAACAAAGAACAATAAACGTTGCGAAAGATAATTTCGGGATTCCCGGCGGAGAATTTTTCCAAACTTCATCGGGTGCTTCATAAGAATTTCAAATAAACGTGTATGCTTGTAGCACGCGAAAGCGTGTTGTATATATCGCACAAACACGGCAACTGCGTTAAAATAGCGTGCGTTGGAAAGCAGATTAACTCGCAGGAAATAACAAGTTCATTATAAATCGACGATGCTCGGACGTCATCCGTCCGAGCATCCTCTTCGTTTTTGAACGAAGCATGCATTAATTGATACGATCATCCATCGGGGACCAGGGCGCAACACGCGCCGCAGGTACCATGCGCCATTTGCCTCTAATTACCGCCCACAATTCAACAAATTAATTAAACCACAGGGCGAATGGGGCTTAAACTGGTGCCGAAAATAACTTTGACCTTTCATTCTATACTACTTTGCGCCCGCATCGCAGGATTTCTACATGTGTAACTATGTATATATTGTTCGCAGATTTCTGAATCGACACCGGATAGTTGTTTGATAAGTGCGCTTCTTGGGACTCATTAGTCGAATTAAAGCTTCAAGTTTAATCCTTACTGAAGATTAACGTGTACAAGATAAATGGAGAGAAGCGGAGAGATCTTGATTTTGATTTGAATGTTTGGCAAGGCCCTCTTGCACTATCTAATTAACCAGAAATTTCCTTCTTTATCTTCTTTGTAATTTTATAGTCTCACATTAAGCACATGTGATCAATTGATTTGTAAAGTTTCATTTGTTACCGTCTATTTAGTATTATTGAATAAAATTTCACTAATAATATTAGTTGACTCGCGCGAGAGATGCCAAAAGATAACGTGTGATTGTAGTATTTTAATTATAAGCTATTGAGAATCGTAATGGTACGCATCATTCCCAAGATCCTCGACCATGACGAACGCGTGATCGGATGCAGGTCGAGTGGAGAAAAAAAATATTCGACCACGATGGCGGCCGTTACCGTGACTAGATAGACAGGTTGATCGTCGTTATAGAATTTCTGTGGTTTGTAATGGATAGGTATTATGTCTCCTGACTTGATACGCTTGAGGAAACATCGAAACTCCGTAGAACTCGTGCGTCCTATTCTGGTAATTTCACTAAAATGTATATTATACATTTTCAATAAAATGGCGAAACCTACTGTAATTCGAAGTCAATAGTTTTAGGATAGTCAGTTCGAGTGATAATCATCGCTGCTTCGAGCCAATGGAACAACGTCAGTGAAAGTGCATACATATATAGCTGCCATTTGAACAGGTTCGGTGTTTGCATCGCTCTGGACATGCTATTCCTTTCCTGGATATTCGAGACACACACACCAGCACTTTCTCTCCTTTACCAATGGATAGATATTCAATTCGAAATCGAACGTTTTTTATTCAATTATTCAGAACTTGCCCTCCGAATATCAATGTGAAACATTGATGTGCATATCAGTGGTTTACGTTGAATCCAACGAGCACTGCGATGGAATAGAATTTAAACAGGGATGTGGTTTGCTTGTGCACCTTGAATTGTTTTACGTATTTGTACAACTTTCGCATAAATTTATAAGAACTCGCAGTCTGTCGGTGAATCTTATTATAATCGTATGATGAAGTATAATGTCCCATTGATGATCCTCATTTTTGTTAACGGATAATTGCAACTTTATATTATAGCGATTCTTCTTTGTCATGATCAGAATAGATCGATAATACATTAATTTTTCTCGTTAAACGTTAAATAAAGGAGAGTTTTTAATTTTTCAAAAACGCAGAAAGAATAGGTATTTCTGGCGTATTAGAATAGGTATAATAGTCGCTAGACAAAAGTGACAAGATGTCACGTCCATTGTCAATTATCCATAGGCATTACCATCATGGAAGAAACCGGCTGACGGTGATAACAATAAATTTAATCTATATTTAGAAAGACACGTCTGACAGACCGAGAATAAAATGTAAAATTTATGAGTTATTCAAGCAGGTAGTCATATATATGCGTGCGGAACTTGAGGAGACTGTGACATTTAAACATACCTCATTAATTATTCATTGATATATATAAAGCTCCGACATTTTAAGTAATTGGTCGAAATTTTATATTTTTTTCTTATAATTCACGTTGTTACTGCTATTACCGTTTTTCGAAAGTGTTTCATTGTTTCTTTGATAGAAACTATTTTCAGCTTTCTCTTCGTGCTTCGATAATCAATACCGATATATTTCTTTTGGAAATCGTTGCTCTCCTTTCTTTCTCACCAATAAAAAACTCCGAGAGTTTTACGGAAATAGTATCGTACATTTAGTGAAGTTAACTTCTTCTATAGACAGAGAATACATATTTCATGAATTCTGTGGTTGATCCTTATATTTCTAACTGCAGCAAAACGAAGTACAATTATAATATTGATTGTGCTAATACTTTCCTGTAATCTAGCCTACTCTAATGTTTTAACATACAATTTAAAGAACCTTGTGCTACTTTATAAAATCACCTCGACGTTTAATTGAAATCTTTAACATTTTATTACATGTTACTTTCAGACCGGTACCACGGCGTTGTTCTTCGCCGCACAAGGTGGCTACATGGACATCGCCAGTCTGTTATTGGAGCACGGTTCCATCGTTGACTCTTGCAGCATCGTAAGTTGTGTAGCCAAAGTAAAAAGTATCGGATAGCCAGGTGAAACATTCGACAATTTCTGATTGCGATTGCAGGACGGCGGTACCCCACTTTTCGTCGCGTGCCAGTGCGGTCACCTAGATGTTGTGGAAGGTCTGATCGAAAGAGGCGCCAATCCGAACGCTTATATGAAGGTAAGCTAGTTTGGTAGCTACTTTTACGACTCGTTGTTTATCTAGAAAAATTGTTGTTAGCGTATAGTATAGTTAGTGAAAGAGGGATAACATTGAACTTCGTAGGATGGGGCCACTGCGTTATTCATTGCCGCCCAAAATGGCCATGTGCGTATTTTAGAGGTTCTCCTGGAGCATGGAGCAAAAACGGACGCGGCAAGAACCGACGGTGCCACGCCTTTATGGATAGGAGCGCAAATGGGACACGATCATGTTGTGAGAAGGCTTTTGAAAGCTGGTGCGAAGGTTGATGCCACCAGACACGTAAGTGGGGAATGATCGGGGCAAAGAAAGGAAGTTTCGAATCGACTTTTCGAGAGAATAGTTGGTCTAAAGTGTTCTTTCTTTTGTAGGATGGCGCGACCCCGCTATTCAAAGCGGCTCACAAGGGCCACACCGCTGTTGTAGGTGAACTACTCAAGTACCGTCCATCTCTTGGTATTCTTCCAGTACGTGCAAATGTCTATTGCATCGAAACTCAAAAAAGTTTTCGGACCTTTTTTTTATATCTTATAATCTACAAGAATCAACAAATCAGTCATATTTAACAAAAAAGTAATTTATAACCAATTATGAACCAAGTATATTTATATTAAATACTGGAAAGCATGATAGTACCTAAAGTGTTTGCTATAGTTCATTCAAAATTACACAAAAGTTAATTACTGTTTCAGAATGGTGAAAGTGCACTACATGCAGCGGCATTAACAGGACAAATGACTGTTACAAGACAATTGGTAGGTGCAGGAGCAGATCCTTTACTGGTGAACCAAGAAGGTATCACGCCCCTTCAGTTAGCTATTAGGCACTCACAAACGCAGGTAGTCAACTATTTGAAGGATAAAGTTAGAGCGCGAACGGGAACATCCTAGCAAAATTTCCACGTTTATCATCGCTAAAATAAAAAATAAAAATTAAGATGAAAGAGGAAAGAAGCAAGAATAAATTATAGACCAGTGTAAAAAATCAGTATTTCTGAAAAAATGTGATATATATATGTGTCACAAATTGAACATACTTTAGATATGATTTGTATACAAGATGATCAAGTGATTACATTTTTATCTGTATTTCACATAAACAAAGTTAAAAAGTAAACAAAGATGTTGATTTATGCTACAACCATAAGACTGTGGTTTAAAACTCCGTCATTTTCTTAAAACTATTTGTTCACTATGTATATAATTTAATATAAAGCACATCCTATAATATTTAAAAGTAGGAAAAGTATATTTTAATGTATTTTCTTGTTGTAAATATTTTATAACGTTGAAATTTTTAAAAAACACTTGTTTGATGTAGGCGATATACATCCCACAGTTACAGAGCTAGTTTGCGCTAGAACTATATATCTTGTTAATACTGAATTCGTGGTTACATAAATGTAATATATAATATATGTATGGATCTTTAAATAATATGATCATTTTGTTCTATAAGACTGATTGATTTGCCTTAAAAAAAGAATAAAATTTAATAATTTTGTAATACTATTCTCCTGTTGATTTATTTATATTATATTACATTAATGTTAATGCGATACGCACAAAACAGAAAGAGAAAATATATTTTATGTTCTTAAACAATTCTTTATGGTGATATTATTAAGATGTTTTATTTAAACATATTACGTTATCTAAATGTAATGAAATATATTTATAATTGCTTGTTTGATGTTACTTTATAATGTAATAAATACATTTACTGTTTTCCCAAAGTTTGTTATGTTTATTTTAGCAGCAAATTTATTGAACAAAAAGGACAAAACATTTAATATATAAATTTTTAATTATACAAAAAATAATTTCATAACTACTATCTTTACTTTAAAATTACATATAAATTTTACTAAATTTTTCTTTTTCTTTACTTAATATCACAAGAATTCAGTTTCATCTGTATTCTAGTTGTACTTTTGTTACCTAAATTGTATATAAATATAAAAAGTTTATTCGAAATATATTTTTAATAACTTTTAATTAGAAATTACTAAGTAATAATTTCTTTTTGATATAAACAAAATTTTTTATATAAAAAAAGAAAGCACTGCAGTTTTAGAAGAAAAAAAGGATTAGTATTATTATAACATACAAAAAAAATCTATAAAAGAACAAGTCAAAGGTTTACAATCCATGTCAATGCTGTCCTTGTAATCCAGATGCTAAGTGCCTATTTCCTATTTCATTTCAGATGCAAAACATCTTCTAAGTAATACAGTGTAGCTGTGAAGCGAATCGAATCATATCATACATATACATATTTTTTTTTTTTTTGTAAATTGCACACGATCAATTACAAATATTAATGTCAACGGCATAATGGATTTTATCCATTATCTCTACTGCACTGATAAGAGAGATAACAAAAAACATATTTTATGTGTTTAATTCACGCAATTATCAGTTACACGCTGATTCTCAAGCAATACTATCATGGTCCGCGATCGAATGCCGGAGTTACGTGCCGTTAGTGTTTTATCATTCTATAAATTTTTTTAACAGTTATATTATACATTACAATTTAGACATTAGAATTTGGAACAGTGTAATAATATATTATTAATTACATAAATAATAAAAGTTACTATAATATTTTTCATCGGTTTTCTACATATCATCTTTTATTATTAGTCCTCTGGTAAAAAATTGATATAATATGTTTCCTACTATTTCTTTTTAGTACCAAAATAATTGCACTACATTTGGTAAAGGATTTTTACAAGATGTACGCATCCAAATATCCCAAAATAAAAAATTGAAGGAAGTATTAGATCAAGTATGTATATATAAATGTATATGAATATTTAAGTTATCATTTAAATATCACAGACCCTTATATTATCAATAGACATACAAATAATATTAATATAGGTTGAAGAAGTTCGAGACTTAATTCAACTTATTGCTGACAATACAGCTATTGTAAAGGATTTACATAATAATATTTTATCATACACCAATAAAGGTAAGAACAAAATACCAAATGTTGTGCTCAATATCAATAAATTAATAATTTACATATTTCAGATATACAAAAAGAATTGGAAAGTCGAACGTACACTATTTCACAAACGTCATTTCGTATTCAACGAAAATTAAGAGGTAGGCATAATTTTTCCATTTTTACGTAATGCAACATAAATAAAAATAAAGAAACAAAAATAATTTTTCTTACTTATCCTAATCAGACTCACTATCATCTTGAACCTGAGAAATACTTTTTTCTCTTATTTCACAGTCAAATAATTCATTTTCACTTTGAAAAAGACTAGAAAGTCTTCTAATTTTTGAAGCATAATTTACAGTATTATTAGAATCAAGATCAGAACGTGTAGGTGTACTTATACTAGGACCAGGTTGCAAAAGTGAATATAAAGTTGAATTTGAACATATTGGAGAATTGGATGTATCTAAAGCGCTGATTGGTGAAGGAGAATTTACTAATATATTACTAGAATTTAACATCTGAGAAATCGAAAGTCGCTGTAATACAACTTTAGGATATAAATTACACGTTGTTAGATTTAAATTTTTGTTGGACGCGTTTTGATTATTAATTTCTAATGTAGAGTTTTCTTCTTCAATAAAATTCTCATCATCAACTCTAATATCTTCCATTTGTCTGAAATAAATGGAAAATTAAAATTAAAAAATAATCAGTAAATTTATAAATAGTAATACATAATACTAAATAAATTTACATATACTTTTTAAACTGCTCCACTTCTTTTTCCAGTTTAGGATACTCGCTTAATATATTTAGTAGTTGGTCCTTGTTATATTCAGAATATGTTTTAACCAGAACTTTTTTTACAACATTTTCTAATGGTGATTTTAGGATAGATAATTTTATCCTAAGTTTTATTAATATAGGTAATAGAATTTCTAAACCATGTTTTTTAATTCCTTCAATAATAATAGTAATAGCATTAGAAGTTGAGCCATTTGGTTGAACTGTACATTCTTCGGTCTCTTGATCATCATCACTTTGTCTGTTAAAAGATGATGGACGTAAGCGATCGTTACTAATTATATACAATGCATCTTTTAAAATACATGCTCCTTCTTCTTTTTTAATGTCGATTAAATCAACACAAGTTCCACCAAGTATTTGACTAGTTACTTTTACAAGTAATTTAATTTTTCCTGGAGGATCTAAATGATCCAACATGAAATCATAAATTGTTCTTCGTTTATTTTCATTTCTTCTTCCAGGAAGTGTTAAAGCTTTCTTTTCTTTTTCACACATTTTATGATGATAAACTTTATGTTGAGATTGGTAATTATTATAATGATATATGCTCTGTAGAAATTGTTGTGATATTAATGATTTATTCTTTGTCAAAAGTCGTTCTTCTATAAGAAAAATTGTTAATTCACGTATCATATCATCCGAGTCCGACAACATTGTTAATATATGAAAAAAGAAAGGACCCTTGATTTTTATATAATCTTCCAGAAGAAGTTGGATAAATATTATCAAGATAGTCTCTCGTACTTGTGGAGTTGAATCCTTCATACTTACACACATATCTGATAAATATGGTTCAACCAAAGCAGTAAATCTAATACAAATATCAGCTAAAGCTTTTGCAGCATTTATTTTTACAGCAATTTGAGTAATTGAATTCAAATTTATTTCTTGTTTCATTAATCTACCAAATATTTTGACTACTTCTTTAGCAATTTCACGATCTCTCATTGCTTGTTGTCCAAGAATAACAACAGCTGAAGCTTGCAATTCTTCTATTTCTTTTATTACTTCTGGCAGTACTTCCCATTCCAATAACATTCCTTGCAAAATTCGTAATGTCAACGGTGAAATTTTGTAAGTACATAAAATTGTTGCATGTCCTAATGTAAACATGGCTTTTAAATAATTAGGTGCTGCTTCTGTAGCTTCGTTTTCACCTTTAAAAATTTTTTCAATTTCTATCTCTGAAATCTTTATTAGATCTAACATGTTTGCTTCTAGCAAGTTATCTTTATCAGGATTTAAATAATGAATTATATTATGTATAATATCTAAACAAATGCTAATTAATCCAAAATTAATCTTAAATTGTTGTAAGCATTTATATAAATAGACATGAAGATGTTCTAGTATTTTATAATCTAAAGATTCCCAAGAATATCTTAAAACTTGCAAAACCAAACTTGTGTAAAAATTATTTTCTGCAAAAATCTCCTGATAATTTAAAAAGTATTTATTCATATTTGGTAACTTGGTATTTTCAGCCAATGCAACCAAAAAGATCCAAGCTTCTATGTTATTATTTGTTCCAATATGAGATTGTATATTTTTTATTATAGAACTGGTGATAACACTGTTTTTAACCCATATACTACAGGCTTTTGATAAATGTTTTCTCATTTTCAGATTAGTTATAGAATTTAAAATTTTCCATGGTAAATTATTTGCAATATTATCCGTATATGTAGAAACATGTTGTATTTTGTTTAATAATAATTCTTCTAAGTAATCCAGCACCTTTTCTTGTACTTTAATTTCAATATCAAATATTTGTGGTATAACAGTTTGTACCCATTCATGTAGAAGTTGAGAATTGTCTGGAAATTGTTTTAGAAGTTGAGATAGAATTTGTACAGAAAACCGACGCACTATTAATGTTGAATCTCTGCATCTGAGACTAATTACAGGTACAATATCATGTATTAGAGATGGAAACATTAAAATCAAATTTTTGAGAATCTGCAATGTACTTCGTCTTACCATTGCTCTTTCATCCTCTACTCTATCTCTGAGCATAGTTATTAATATATTTGATCCTGGTAATAAGTTAATATCTTCAAATAGAGAAGCTTTTATATCATGAAATGTGAAGAACTGTTTATTTACATCTGATTCTTTAAATATAGTTAGAAATATTTCTTTATCTTTTCTATTATCAGATTCTGTAAACTCAGCGATTATAGCCATGGCTTTTCCTCTTACCATACTTGAACAATCCATGCATCTATTCAATACAATTGCAAACAATGCTCTTTTTATTTTAATTTTTAAGCTATCCATTATATTGCAATTCATTAAAAAAGATTCAAGTAACAATTTTCCAATTATTTCTTGAGCAAATAATCTAAAAGGTATTTTTGAATGACATGACAATAACATTAAATCCTTAAAGGCTTCTAGTGCAATATTCTGGTTGCATATTTCAAAAAGCTTTAGCAACACATTAGCTTGTTTTTGTCTAGCTTCGAGTCGGTCTGGACATGATAGCATTATGCGTTGTATTAATATTAAAATTGCAGTTTTGGCTTCTTTTTCATATTCATTCAATAAATCTTTTAAGAAATTGATAGTATGTTCACGTATGTTTGCAATAATTTTTACGTGTGCATCCATATGATTATATATCAAATGTGGTAATACATACTTTGCTATGAATGTTATAGTTATTTTAACAGGTCCATGTTTATTATTGCATAATTCTTTCAAAGCTGCATAAGCATTTTGAGGCAAAGAAACATTCAAAGTACCTATTTGTTTATTACAATGACTGGTCATGTAACCATCCTCTATCTTTGTAACTTCAATTAATCTATGAATTGTAATATCTAATGATTGTACATGATCTTTAAACCAGAATGATTTTATCATTACAATTAAGCTACAAACAATAATATTCAAATTTTGCATAAGAACTTCTTTTTCATTAGGTGAAAGAATAATAGTTTCATTTACTAATTCATCAGTGATATTTAGATCATCTAAATTTATTGATTTATTACGTTTCTTAACAGGAGGCTGTAAATGCTCAGAGCCTATTTTAAGTGTATCTATGGCTTGTTGATATAAATTAGGATGAAATACGTTGAACGCACTGCTACCAGGAATAGCCAAAAGCACAAAATATAAACTACTTGCATATGAACATAATTGTCTTGTCTCTTCATCAGCTTCTTTGCTTTGACCATTCTTTATTATATAACCCAATACAGCTAACAAAGCACGCACCTGTATATCCTTAGTAATTAATGTGTTCCATGATATTTCAGAATCATAATTCTCGGCATCACTTTGACTTGTACATCCTTGTAGCCAAGCTTTTACAATAATGCAAGATTCGTTTAAGAGTAATTTCATGTCTTCACACTCTAAAAACGTGAGATACTCATCAGGTGGTTCATTATAAATTATAAATTCTCCATCCCATACGGATTGAATCCAGTCTTCGTTTACTTCACTAAATTTGAAATTATCGAATATTTTCAAGGACTCCATAGTAACAACATATATTTAGTTTAGATCATTTTAAATGATACTACAGTTATCACATTTCTCTATCTTATAAATGTAAACATAACCTTAATTTATCATTTATGATAAAGAAAAATGACGGCTTCAGGTTATCATTTTTTGAATACATATTGAAAACAATTTCAAAATTTTATTACGATCAACAGAAAACTTTATTGATGGTTTATCACTAAACATCTCGTATAAGGTGCAAAAAATAGTATATGAGATTGTAGCGTACATTCGAAAGCGGGAAACCGACTGACCAATTACACTCATCGGAAAGTATAACAAAAAATATAAATTTGTTTGCAGTTTTACATATTATACTATACATTGTCGAAAATTTTGCTTATAAAATATAAACAAAAATTTTTCATTTTATCAAATGATTAGTCCTTTAATTACATAATTAACAATATATAGTAATTAAACATAATTAAATTATATATTGATTAATCGAAAGACTATATTACGCGCGCAAAAATGTGTAATGTGATTTTACAAAAAAATGTGATTTATAAAGGATTAAAATGAATTTCATAATAACAAAAATTAATTAACTATGTAAATTTAATTTTCACATTTGATTTCATTTTTTTATTAAAATTATTAAATATTTTTTTATTTTTTATTAAAATTATTAAGTATTTTTTTATTTATTTTATAGAAATGGGAAAGGAAATTAACTGCATTGACGACTTAACTTTACGTAGCGCGAGGGCAGGCCCTATACATATACGAATTAAAATGATACAATATACAACGATGATAAGATTATTCTCTGAAGTTATGGAAGATTATAATGCATCTATGATAAGATATCATAAAAAATGTCGTTTACTTTTACATCAACAAAAAATGTTAAGTACGTGAGAATTGTACATCATTTTCATTTAAATACTGTTTACTATTCTTAAAAATTTTTTAGTCCGGAAACATATTACAAGTGAAGAATTGGAAAAATTATTCGATGCAGAGGAAAATAATTTATTTGTTGATAATGTAAGATTTGTTGATAATTTATTTCGATATATTAATTAAATTTTGTAAATTTTAAGTAATCATGAATTGTTTTATAAATAGATTTTACAAGACAGTAAAATTGCAAAGCTACAATTATCAGATATTCAAAGTAGGTATAATGATATAATAAAAATAGAAAAATCAATTGCAGAAGTTAGAGATATGTTTACAGAAATGGCATTTCTTATTGAAAAACAAGTAAGTGCAAATAAATTACTACATAACTACGTTAAATTTTAAATACATACATATAAAAATTTTTATTCTGTTTTAATAGGGAGACCAAATAAATAGTGTAGAATATTATGCTGGAAGGGCAGCGGATGATGTTGATGTTGGTCATATTGACCTTAAAAAAGCGGAGAAAAGGAGCCAGAGACATAGGAAGGTACGTTAAAAGTAATAGCTCTACATAAACAGCATTAATTAAAAAACAATACTTTTTTCTAGAGGAAAATTAAACTTGCTATCATAATTAGTACAATAATTATTATTCTCTTGATGGTCATTATCTTTTTATAAAAGAATAGAAATATAATAATACAGTTTTGTACAAAAACAAAAAACTTGTTGCGTAAAATTGAAAATTTTATTATGTAAGTTATTATTATGTAATTATTATTAAAAGTCAATATATTTAAATGAATAAAATATACTATACTTAATCTTTTTCATTACCATATCATAATAACTATAACCATAATAATATATAAACGATTATAAATTCATAATTTAGAAAAACCATAATAAATTTATAAAATCGTTTAAAAAAGATAATAATATATATAGATAATACATTACTTATTGGTAGTATAAACATAATTTTTAAAATAATGAACAAGACTTTTGGCACTAGGCCTAAGTTTATAATCTGCAGTAGTGCACGCATAAAACATTTCAAGCACTTTATCATATTCTTTTCCTAGATTGATAGCAGGTAATGCAGGACGAGTACCTATGATCATTATATTTAACTAGTTGTTGAAAATTCTACCATTTCATTGAAAATTATTACAAAAAGACTTACCATACTTTTTGTTAATTACTTCATTAAGAAAACTACTACTATCATCCATAGAGATATCTCGTTCATTTGTCCTTGTACTATTTTTCATTTGCATTTCTGACATTGAATCATCTAAACTGTCCATGTTCACTTCTGAGTATTCTACATGAGGTGGTGATAAGGCTATCATTTCCCAAATTACAAGACCACATGCCCAAATGTCTGCTTTATTTGTAACAGGACCATCTTCTAAAGAATTAAATTTATGATTGTTCATATTATTCTATTTATGTTATATTAATTACTATAGACATTAAAAATTAACTAACCAAATATTATTTCAGGTGCACTCCAACATTCTGTTCCCACATATAAAAAATTTCCATTTGAAGTATCCATTTCTAATAGTTCTGTCAATGGCAAAGACACTCCAAAGTCACATAACTTAACTGTTTTATAATCTACAGAAACTAATACATTATAGCTTTTTATATCACCATGTAAAATACTAGCAATATGATGTAAATATTCTAATCCTTTTACAATTTCATATGTTATTTTTAAAATATCTTTAGCAGAAAAAGGGTCGTCATCATCATTCTCAAGTTTTTGTTCTATTTTATCACCTGAAGAAATTATATTACAAGAACTGTAGATTTTTTTAAGAAGTCAATTTTTTAAGCTATTCACCATGATATTTTTTACCTAAAGAAGAGTCCAATTTTTCCATTGCTAAGCATGGTTCACCATTTGATAGTTCGACGAAAGCACGAAAACCAATAACGTTTGGATGATTTAATTTACGAAGTACTTCTGCCTCAAATCGAAGACGTTCGTTATATTTTTGATCTTCCGTAACTTTGCAATTGCGTTTTTTTATCGCCCATGGAGATCGGATAAAGCCGACCTTTGGCGATCGTTCCAGACTAAATACATTAACTCCTATTAATATATTTACACATTAAAATAATATTAATATTAATAGTGACGTATTTAAAAAATTATATTATTTTACCGCAGCCATAACCTATCTTCTCTAAAAACGGTGAAGCTGGTATTTTAATAGGAGTTTGCAACTCTGGACTAGTTTGTAATCTGTTTTTATATTTTTTTGTCGTTGGTGTCTTAAATTCGCTCATTTTACCACTATTCTTTAAAAAGTTTATTCAAGTAGAATCTAGTTCTTATACTAGTCCGTTGATTTTTGAATTGTCTTGATACTGACGCTCAATTAGTACCAACTTTATGGATAATGATAGAGAAAAAGTTAATAATATCAAGATTCAAGAACGAAAGCTAATTCTTCTTATAAAATTCTTTTTCGGTATTCCTTAAATTATCTTTTGATATTATATAAGAAATTTAAAAAAATCACTTTTTATGTACGCGTTAGATTATTATTGTTGGCTATCATGAAAGAAACGTTTCTAGTTTAAATAGATATATATGTTTGAATAGGTATACAATAAATGCAAATAGTTTGAATAGGTATACAATAAATATAATAAATGCAATAGGTATACATTAAAAATAACAAAAAAATTTAGTATTTATATTGTGATATATTACCATAAAAGTTTTATATTTTAATTTCTGATCGAGAATATTTTCAACTCTCATTATGTTTATTATGCTTTCATTATGTCTCTAATAGAAAAATTTTTGCATTTCTTTAACGTGACTCTGACTAAATTTTTCAGATTCTAAGTAGGTATGTATGTATCTATGAAAGAGAATGTTTCAAACATTCATAATATATGCTTAATATCTTTAACATTTTTCAGGTACGATAAATTTGTAAACGATGTAATACTTACGACTTGCTTACTTCGTAGCTTTGCATTTTCGTTAGTCGCTCGAATAGATACTCTATCGAGTGTAAGCGATATGATCTCCAATGATGTTTTCTGCTTGAAATAATCGTTCATTTTTTTTAAAAACGCTTTTGGATATCGATAAAACTTATGTTGCTTTAGATCAGTACTTCAAAACAATTTTATTCAACCATAAATTTTTCTATAATATCTTTCTCGTTTATTTCTTCGTTTATTTTTAATACGATATCTTTATACTTGTAGAGCTCCCCGCTTGATTAATTAGGTACCATTTTTCTGTATTTGACGATATTACGTCTCAGACTAATGTGCTGTTTACACAACAAATAATTGATGACATATTGGTTGATAGTTTGTCAAGTATTCTGACGCATATCGGTTGTGGTTTTAGAAATTGCGTCCTGTTTTTTTACTATGATAGTATTTACGTTTTCATTTTACAATATTCATACGTAAATCCTATCGGTTTTGAAATTATAACAATAATTTCTAATTAAATGTTTGCTTTGCTACATGACAGTATTAACACTTGACTGCTCCCGTAAAGGAGTTGAGAATCACCCAGGCATTCGTTGGATGGGCGACAGGGGCAAATGATGAATAATATCACCCTAAACAGAGATAATCGATTAATTTTGAACGTGTTTTGTAGCTAAAAATAAATCTGTGTGACGTATGGTTTTATTTGTTACGAGAAAAGCTGTTCATTGTTCAAGCTTATGATGGAATCTCATTCAAAATGAATGATTCTACTTCAAATTTATATATAATTTATATATTTCATCTAAAACTCAAGGTTTGGTAATATACATACAATTCGCTTATTATAGTTGAACGTTCGTTTTCAAAAGATAACATAGAGAAAGTAGAGATTTTTAAGATAATATAAAGTTTTATTTTAAAACGTTTCCCAGATATATTCCTCTTGGCTTCTATTGATGAGATAGCCTGTTTTGCTGCAACTAGATAATTTATTATAGTTCACCACGGAACATGTTTTTTTATTGCATCTTAAATTGAATTATCTCGACGAAGGGCGCTGGAATATAATTATAATGTAAATATACTTTGACTACAACAATAAGTGAACCTTTTGCGAGAGCATGCGCAATATCGACTTTTCATAGAAAATACGGTAGTGAGTTCATCGAGGATGTATCTCGCAGAACTCGTGCACCCGTTGCTTCAGTTTTATTCAAGAAACTATTAATGAAAGCGGTAAAATGAGTAAGAAAAAATTTCTCAAAATAACGATAAAATCCAATAGATTTTTAACATATTCTGAAAATTGTGCTTTATCTTAAACTTATTTAGATAGTTTTAGAACAGTATCCACTATGTTAACGGGAATATTTAAAGGGTATGTTTTAAAAAAGAACAAACCTTATCTAAAATATGTAATAATGATGGATGTTAAAAGTTTTAAAAATTAGTTTCTAATTTTTTTAAATTTCATGACATAATTTGGTTCTTTATTAAACCTTTTAATATTAGCTCGTCGTTACTGGATACATTTAAACTGTTTTAGAACTCTTTTATGTTGCGACGATGAAAATTCTACCTGGAGCAATATAATTAACGCAGACAAACATGCTCTCAATGAGACTACATCTTTGTTGCGCGTTCTTTATAGAATAGTAATTCCTACAATGGTAATCGGCGGGATTTTTGGTAATGTCTTAATAATCCTGGTGTTATCCAGTCCGGTGTTTCGAGGAGTCGCGTATTTATATCTCCGAGGATTAACTTTAGCGAACGCCGGAGTTCTTCTATCTTGGATACCCATATGTACGTATATCACTTTATGAATATATAAACGATATTAGAATATATAAAAATTTAACTAGCGATATTTCAAATAAATATAATGTAATTAATACTATTTTAATTTAGATGCTACGTTATATAATCTAGAATTTCTAAATATAAATATATCAATTCAACTAAAGTTATATGATTTCAGTTATTAGATTAGGATATGGATTGAGGAACAATTACCCATCTGTCTTTTATCATGCTCATTTAGAGCTTGTTGCCGTAAACACTTTTGCTATAGCCAGCATTTTAATTATGACCTGCTTAATCGTCGATCGATACATCTTCATTTTTTTCCCGGCTCGTATCCGCAGCAGAAATGCACGCAAAAATGTTCGGTCATTTATCCTGTGTTCTTTTATCCTTGGATTCGCGGTATCATCCTTTTACTTCTTTCTTTTTGTCAAAAATAATATTACACATGATAGTTGTAATTTTACTTAGAATTATTTTATAGGTAAGCGCTCCATTAATGGGAATGAGAATGGTATATGAACAGCAAGAAGATACCGGTACTCTCTTCACACTGCGTGCAAATATATCCATCATTCGAAGTGCTTTATGGAACGCGTACATTTGGATTATGGAAGTCACGTTACGACTTTGTCCGACTATAATTCTTCTGCTCCTAAATAGCTTCGTGGTCAAAAGATTTTTGCAACTTAATGCTAAAAAAAGAGAATTCCAGTCGGTGTCAGAAAAGTTTCGTACTTTAAATGTTCCTGAAACTTCTTTATTGACCCGTAATCGAGGATACAGGTAGTATTAAAAAAAATAAAAATTTACATCTGGTTACTTAGAGGTGCACCGTGCAGCTTTGAAATTTTTTTATAAGTAAAAAAAATACATAAAAAAATTAAATTAAATTAATATATTAATATAATAAATTAATAAATATATATTTTAAAATGCTCAATATATTTTATCTTTATACATTCTATTGCTATAAATTTTTATTATTAAGTTATGAAGTTATAATGATTTTTATAAAATTAGTAACTGAAAAATTACCTTTTTAGGGAAGAGCAAAATTTAGCTACATTAATGTCGATGATGGCGATATGTTTTATAATAACAATGATCCCATCAATATTGCTTGAATTTGTATATTATGATTCTAAGACCGCAGACGGCGGTTACTTCTTATTTCGAGCATTTGCTGCTATCACGGAGCTTTCTAACTTTGCTATCCACATTATCATATACTTTATATGCAGTGTAGAATTTCGGAAAGAATTCTTCAAACTTCTTCAGGTAAATAAAAATTTTAGAAGGTACTTGGACTAAGAAGAAAGAATTTTAAATGGAATTTTTTAATTTTAAAAATTCAAAATATAGAACAGATGTAAGAAGAGTACAGTTGAAGAAGATGTTGAAAGACCAATAGGTGAAATCGAAGATTATAGTCGACATGGGACCACAGTCCGATTAACACCGGAACAGACGAAGTTAAATTCTCCAGCTTCTGCAAGTAAATTGAATCCTATGGAAGAAGATAAAGAATCAGAAGTATTAAATGCTTCTGATATTGTCTAAAGATTATGTTACAAATAAAACACACTATAATATGATATATTAATTTATTTACATGTATAATGAAATGTTTTATTTTGTTATGCAGATGAAAATTAATTTCTCATGTACATAATTTCACTTACATAATAAAAATTTTGTTTTTGAAGATATTTTTAAAAATTAATACTTCAAATATGTTAATAATCATTACAATAGTATAACACAATATTTGATTTATTGTTAATCATTATTTTCGTCTTAAAAATAATTATAATAATGATAATAGAGGACACTAGTAGTCTGCAGATTGATAATATCATCAAAGAATAACACATAACCTAAACTATCAAAGTATAGACGTCGAATAATATTACTATTTTTAACACAAAGATTTTTCAATAATTTGTCATTGTTAGTTGGGTATATGCTTAAACGTAGTTATTTGATATAAAATATAATTTATAAACGTATATATTCTTTTTTATTATAAATATAATATTTATGATTAATAAAAAAATTATTATATTTTTGCTTTTTTTTATAGTTAATCCTTAATTATGTGTGAGTTACCACCAGAATTAACTACTAAGCCATTAGCTCTTATTGGCTTGACTGGTTTAGATATTGCAAATCCTGTACATCGTTCAATTTGGGATGCATTTAGTAATAATCGCAGATTAGAAAGTTCTGCCATACAGTTTAAATTACTTAATTCTACTCATGAATTCCCTACAGTAAAACCTAAGGTATATTATACTACATATAATTATATAACATAATTCATTATTGAATTACTAAGATATTATTAATATATTTCAGAGAAACTCATATGAATGGTATAAACCTAAAGGAATATTGAAACGTAATTGGATGAATAAATATCTTAATGAAATTCCAGCTGTTGTTGTTGTATTTTATAATTTAGATTGGAATGATCCACAGTGGAATGAAAAAAAAATGGAATGTGCTTCTAGAGTACAATCTCTTAGGTATAGAGTATATTAGATATTCTCAATGTTTTTCATCAAAAAATATTGTAATTAATATGTATGATTGCTTAAACTTATAGAAATGCTTTGGATGGAAGGACTACTAAAATAGCTGTAGTACTTATACAACACTGTACACAACCTCCACCTGGTTCTGAAGATGCTATTGCAACTGAACGTGCTACAGCTGTGTGTGGAGCATGTGAACTATCTCCAAAGTTATTATACATTTTACCACATGGAAATCATTTATTAGGATATATATCTAGGTAATTAATAAACTAATTGTAAATATATACTTTTTTATAGTTACATACTGTACATATATTTATATGTATTATAGATTGGAAAGTGCATTATATGATCTAGCACAAAATTTTTATCATCATGAATATCGTATTGTCAAAGGGCATAAAGATCAACTTAATAAAACTATGGAAAAAAATGCACACAAACAGCATTTATTTGTACGTCATCAATTTAAAATGGCATTTTTAAATGAATTAAAACAAGATCAAAATTTAGCCCAGAAGTAAGTATAATAATATTGAGAAAGATTTTAAATAGAAATAAAATGTACAAAATTATTTTATAGGCATTATACCCAAGCATATAGTCACTTATTGGAAATACCAATAACAGACATAAATGTAATGGAAATTACAACTGTTGCTTGTTTTATAAATTACAAATTATGTAAAGTAATGTTCAACTTAAATATTCCTAAAGATGCTATAACACAATTTAGATTTCATACTGACAGGTTAGAAATACATGTAATAACATAAAAAATAAATAAATACTTAATAAATAGTCACAATAACATTAACTTGATGATGCAGATTTAAAACATGGATTGGTCCAAAAGAACTTATATTTGAACATCATGCTTGGATGTGTAGTCAATTTTCTACATTTGCAGAACTGTTTGATGATGCTATTCGACAGGGACTTCCTGCTGTCCAAACTCAGCATCCTGGATATTACTTTCAGTCAGCAGCTCATCATGCAGGTTTAAGACAAGCAGCTTGCAAAGAACTTTGTCAGGTATAAAAATTTATATATATATTATATTTTTGCTTTTTTTTTTACAGTTAATCCTTAATTATGTGTGAGTTATACGTTCAATTTATTATATATAATAAATGCTTTTTTTACACAGAAAACTTTTAAGCATTATATGTTTAGAATGTTACTAGTTATCCAGATCCAGATCCATTAGCAGGGGAAGAGAAACTTGAATTCTATGGGCAACGACCGTGGCGTCCTGGAAAATTGAGCGCTGAACCTATAGACCTTGTAAAAGAAGCTCTTGCCATTCAGGCTTTACAGTATAAGGAAAAGTACACAGTTAACCATTCTGTAAGAAAAATATTTAATTAAAAAATATTTAGTTAAAAATTATTCTAATTCTAAACTATAAACATGCTTTCAGAATATAATCATTGGTTTATTGGGCAACGCAATTTCACAATTTAAAGTATATAGATGTCCAAGAATGAGGAGAGTGTTAGGTATGATACATCTATTTAAGAATTATATAAATTTTTGCTCAATAATACACATAATAATCATATTTCAGTTGTACAAATGGCTGAAGAATATTATAATTCTAAAGATTATGGGAAAGTTTTAACGTAAGTGGGAAGTTAAATGTTATTATATTTACAAAAATTTATTGAAAATATTAAAAGAATTTTATATTATTCATTAGTCTAAAAGTTGATTCTAACATTATTTCCTCTAGACATATTTCATAACTTAACATCAAAATCATAAAATTTAATTGGCCAGATTATTGATGCACATGTTGTGGGAATATCACGGGGAACGGTGGCCTGTCTTAATTACAAATATCCTAAAGAACGCCTTGCGTGCAGCATATCTTTCCACAAGTATTCAAGACTACATTACCTTGGCATTTGAAGCTTTGGGACCTTCCACTACGTTTTCGGAGGATTTTAAAAGCACTGTTTATAACAATATTCTTAGTATTCTTCATGTGAGTAATTTTTTTTAACTTTCTACTATTATTTTCAATTAATTAATTGATAAAATATGAAATTGCAGAAAAAACCACCAACTCCGGAACCTGATTTACCCGATGATGTAAAATGTCCCGCAGTAGAAAAATGGATAATGGAACTTAATAAGTCAGAACCAATTGTTTTTACAATTGATGATAATAATATGAGTTCGTTTATAGAAGTTAAAGCAAGATTTTTGCAACCAAAGTATGCTGTCAATTCTATGGTTACTACAGAAGTCATTATTAGGTAATTTTACAAACTTATTGCTTTTTATGTATAGATAATTTACAATAGAATTTTTTATTTTATACAGAAATTCATATAGTGATACTGTTGAGTTTTCTAAAATAACAATAACAGTTAATAGTCCAGGATATAATTCAGAGTTTATCATTGCTGATGCTGAACATAACACTCTCGTATTTCATGGGAAAGAAATGAAAAAATTTCCTTATCAATTTGAAGCTCTGCAACAAAATGATAGTAGTGAAATACATATTGCGACAATCTCATTGTATATGAATAGTAATAAAATGTGTTGTATTATTTTGAGATTTTCTGCTGTAGGAAGAGAAACAAATTTTTTAAGTCAATTGTATCCTGAAATACAACAACTTCGGTATGTTCAAAATAAAATACTTATAAATATTTATGCAGAAAGTTGATGCATTTTATATTTATAATAGTAGAGGAGAATTTGAAACAATACAACCACTAATCAGTGCTGAAATAAAACAAGAAGAATCTAATCTGAATATAAGTGCTGAATCTAACAATCCAGCACTTTTAGGAGAATGGCTTCCTATTAATATATCCATTACTACTAATGAAAATATATCAACAGCATTTTTAAATATATCACTTATGTCTGATGGAGCAAATGAACAGTCAAGTATGTATGCAACTTATTACAAAAATTGTATTACATTTGCCAATTACGATTTCGTTAAATTATAGCGGAATTAAGTTTAACGATGAACAATAAACAATCAGTAATATCAATACCAATTGATAATTTGGAAAAAGATTGTGTTATTCATGAAACTGTATATTTAAGAGCTCACAAAGTTGGTGATCGAGATATTCATATAAAGGTATATATTGTACTTTTTCCTTTATCCCTTTAATTTTTATAAAATAAAATAATTTATATAATTTCATAATAGGTAGAGTACTCGAGATCTAAACAAATTAAAGGATCAAAAGAATTAATATATTCATTATCAGTTACAAAGCCATTTGAAATATCAACATTATTTTATACCACACTTTTTGAATCATTAACAAAAGGTTTCATTAATGAACCATTTATAATAATGCCTCACATTTCTTGTGTTTCTCCATGGCCTATAAATATTATAAATACTTCTATAGAATTGGTAAATAATACTTTTATTAGTTATTAATTCTTCATTGTACATTCACTATACATCAATAATGTTAATTATCTAGGGAGATTCAATAGAAAGAGAAAATGGAGATCAAACAATATCCGTTTTAAGTGGTATTACACTTTCCGAGAATGAAACAGGTACAGATGCATATTGCTTGATACCAAAAGTAGGTGGTGAACAACCTATTAGTACAGGAGTCTATACCATTAAATGGAAACGGTAAGCGAAGTTATATAAAATAATAAAATGGTTAAATAATTTAATATTAATAATTGCTATTTCAGTGCAAATGATAATAATGCATTACAAACCAGCAGTAGTGTTACTTTAGCTCCTTTAAGTGTTGAGGATGCAGTGATTGGTTTGGAAGCTAAATTACCTGCTCATGGTTGGGTCCGTACACCGTTATTAATATCGTATTTTATAAAAAATCATTCTGACAATATAATTACATTACGATTGACTATGAAAGCTAGTGATGCTTTTATGTTTGCTGGACAGAAACAAGTGAGCATGTATTTTAAATAAAATAAAAACTCGTAATATAATTATTAATTTGGCTATTTTTCTTTTTTAGATCGATATTTACATACTTCCGAAAAATGAAAGAAAAGTTGAATGGATTTTACGACCATTGGTGGCAGGTTTTGTACAACTTCCGTCATTGTCTTTAACAGTTCCCGCTGGTAATAATTTTATTGAATTATGTATTTTTATTATTATCTTAGTTTTTTTATTTTTTTAGTAATTATCTTAAAATTTAATTTATACATTTATATCTTATATATAGATGAAGAACATAAATTAAATAAAGCACGACTTCCGGAGATAGTAGAGCGGTCAATACCGAGTCACATATATATTCTTGTAAGTATCCTAATTTCATTTTTTATTAAAAAGTTGAAATTTAAAAATTATATATATTTTTATAGCCAACATCACAAACTCTAGAAGAATAAATAAAATAATATATGTAGAAGGAAAATACTATGAGAGGAAGGAATTTTGTTCTTTTAAAAACATATTTTATTGAGTCAGAAATACATTCTCTATATGTACATACTTAAACATAAGATATATAAGATTATAAGTACCAATTTGCTAAATATAATTCGTTTAAGTAAAGTTTAAGTTCCAAATGTAATAAAGAAGAGTCCCTTATCCTTTAATGCATATTCGATTTCAACATATATATACATACATTCATTGACGCGGGCATATTGATTTATGTTACCATATGTACTTACATTTCTATAGAAACCATATCTGTTAAAATACATTACATATACACATAAATTACAGTATATTAATAATTCGTTAAAAATTGAAAATTTAGTGAATAAAATGATGGATTATAAATATAAAGAGTGTAAACAATAATATTAAGAATGTCCGATAACAATCACATGCATAATACTTTGAAACAAGATGAAAACCATCTGGAAGAATTGCTGACGCCTATTTTTCGTATAAACTCGGAGGAATCATTGGCTCGTAATCGAAAATTCTTAAAGGTACGATATTATTATTAAAATTACTTCAATGTTATAAATATTTTACGATAGAATCTTTTATACTTCGTCTTTTATATTACATAATAAATAGTTAACGTAACAAGGAAAATCTTGCAGCATACTATATTAAAAAAAGTCATTTAAAAATAGGATCTGGAACTTGTAAAAGCACGCTTGCGAACTTACGCTGCATATAGTCCGACTGATCGAGAATTACAACAACGTGCAATGGAATATCGCAAACACCTCCAGAAGTACAACATATAAAATTTCACTTCATAACAAATCGATTTTCTGTTGCGTGCGAAGTACATTCTTTCAGTTTGATAACTCGAGCCGAACGAACAAACTTTCAAATGAAAAGTTTGTTGATCGTTAGGATCGATGCATCATACTGATAATTCAAACGGTAGTATTAAACTGACAAAAAATAAAAACAAACTAAATGTTGTCATAAGAATCTATATTACTTAGTAACATGTTAAAATAAAATATTTGATCACTATAGTTACGTAATTTTATAGAACAAAGAAAACACATATACTTACGCCACGATGATGATCTACTACGAAGAATTCTATAATAGAGACGAATAGTTTTTATAGGAATACGAAAAGAGAACGCGTAGACAAGTACGAACGGTATTCACCTGTAGAAATGGAATATTCACGTTCATTTTTTACGTGTGACGGCATTATCATCGCTCGTAATTACTGACACGTAGAACGTGTATGTACGATAGGATAAGTTCGTTTCAGAAGTTACCTGATAACGACCTAAACCAATAATTTGACGAAAAGCTATACAATATTTCAACGTTAAATTCCATCCATAAATACAAATTTAGGATTCGATTTTTGTAAAAATATTAAAAGATATTATCATTACGTATATTATTATATGTAAAATACTACTATATTAAAATTTACGATTACTATTTTCGTTAAATAATAAACTTGTATTAGATTTCAAAATTATAATTCGTAAGATATTTTAAAACATTGATTAATACCTTAATTCTTGCCGTTGATAAGGCATAAATATTTTTTTATAAATTAATCGTTTTATACGGAACAAAAATTTAAAAAGAACTAACATGTATTACTACACTGAATAAAGTATCAATATATAATTTTATATTTCTACGTCGTGTTACTTACCAGCTGAGTAAATAAGTTGACATTGAAACTTAGTTTGACCATTATAGGTAGCCTAAATACATCTGTATCAATAATATCTTTATCTCTCTGTATCATTTTCTTTGTAATTTGCATTGATAACGCAATTCTTAATAACTCGAGAAAAAATTAATAATTTAATTTTTATGAGAGAAATGAAATAATGAACTTTTCCTGATACTTCTTACAATCATTTATTACAATAAATTATGAACAATTCACTTTTTAAAAATAAATTACATTTCTATTACTAAAGTCATCCCTTTGTAAAATTTTGAAAATAAAATTAATATAAGAAAAAACGAAAAGACAGTATACATCGTTTTGAGGTCATTTATCACCAAGTTATACATAGAAACGTAAACCGGTATATGCATTCATTAGCAAAACGTTAATGCATTATCGCTGTTAGATACCAAACGTAATACTCATTAAAATAATAATATACCACTATAGAAACATACTATAGAAACGTTCATTGGCCTTGTAAATACATTTATTTTTGAGATATTAACTTATGACTCATTTTTAAAGAAATTGGAAAAAGAAAAGCAGTTTTGTCTATAATCAGTAGAATAGTAACAATATTAAAATGTTAGTTGGAATGGTATTTTGTTCTAAATTGTGATATGTAATCACTTCTTAATTTATTATTGTGTAAAAATGGAAGAATTTGATGCAATGAAAAAATATATTATTTTTTTATTATTATGTTAAAAAAATATGTAGTACGATTTTAATAAATAATTTTTTGTATATATTCATCACATCAAATATTTTATGAAATCGTTGTACTTGTAATAAATTAAATCCATTGATACGAAGCACAAGTATTGTGGAAGTACATAAGTTTAGTACATTTTCATTATCTGTACATAATACATACAGAATATATACACGTATTGAAATGTTTAAATTAAATATTAAATATCCTATATATGCAGCTAATATAGCTTGCATAAAACTAATTTTTACTAGTTTAACTGCTACTTACTTTCACAGTTTATAACTAAAACCATTTTATCATTAAGTACATATGAAATTGTTAATTATAGGTGCGATTCTTTCAGGATTATTTAAATGTACATGATGAGTCCCTTCTACTTTATGATATTCAAATTTTTTAGCACCTAATTTTATTTGATCTAAAATCTTCTCATAATATTCTGGATAATCAAATTTCATTCCGGGTACGGCACGAATATTAAGATAAGCGCATTTTATCCGAGCTGCATATGCAAGCACTAGATCCAAAGATATCATACCCAAAATAGAAACCTAAATCAATGTTAATATAAACTTAATACATTTAATAATGTCATATACTTGAGAATTTATAAAATAAAATTTTACCTTCAATCGTGGATCACGTGAAAAATAATATCGCTCAGGTTCACTGGCAGGTCGTAAGCCACGTTTCATTAATATCACTGCGCCTTCTTTAGTTATGGAACCTTTATAAGCATCTTCAACAATTTCAAGCACTTCATCATAACTATAGGATGGAATACCATCGGATTGTAGCAATTCATATTTTAAAAATTTGTCAATATTGTCACAAGTTACAAGAGGAGTTTTTGTTATGTCTTTTACACTGGGACTTGCAATATCTAAACTTATCATGAATTCTACTTCATCAGGATAAGATGCAGCATATAAAAATGATATTGCTCCTCCTAAGGAATGTCCAAGTAATCTCACCTATGATAATGAAACTTAATTAATATCAAGAAATGTACGAATCACAAGCAACCAAAAAATTGTTATTAATATATTTAATATTAATTTAATATAAATTATTATAAATTATTATAAATGTATATGTGTGTGCATCATGCATTTTAATATCATGAATTTATTTTATGTAATTTATTTCATGCTAGACATGAATAGTGGAAAATATGTATTTTCAAGGCTGACTGTTACATCTATATATAATAATAATAATAATGATAAAACAAGATTTATAATGTTATAGGTTATATAACAACATTTATTTAAATTATAAATGGAGTAACCTTTGTCCATTTGAAATATTTGACAATTCTACGTAGTAGAATAATGCCATCCCAATAAACATAATAGTACTGACTCTTTGGATAATGGGAAGATAAACCATGACCAGGCATATCCAAACAAAGCACTGAAATCTCATTACTTAATAAAGGAATCAAAGTGTCAAAACTGCCAGCATTATCTTGTCGTCCATGTAATGCCACTATTGGTTGAATCCCTTTGGGACCCCACCATTTGCCTATAGATAAATAATTATTGTGTCAAAATTTATTAATTATTTAGATTTAACTATTTCAAGTACATAGATATATTAACATTTGTATCTCCTAAGTATGTCTTCAAATAAAAATTTCAATAAGAAACAAAGTTACAGCTGACTGGGAAAAATTGAAGAATCATCTTGAAGATATAATGTCCTACAGTTATACAACGACATTATGTGACTTGTATGATTTAAAGTAATTAATATTAATGATGATGGAATATGTCAAAATATAATGTATATTTATAACAGTCAACCTTGTGTCAAATAATTTTTGTGATGATATGTAATGATTAAATAACATCACAAAATATAATGTATAATCTGCACTATAAATAAAATCAATATCACATTTATATAATGTTTAATTAATATGATGTTATTAAAAACTGTAAGATGAATTAATAAAATTGAATCTTTATATTAAAAAAATATAGAATTATGAAAAATCGTTGTATAACTTTTAATTTCTAGCTAACCTTGTTCCATTTATAATATTTAGCAATTCTACGTAGAATGATTAGCCCATCCCAAATTACATAATAAAATTGTCCAGTAGGAAGATGCGAAGATAAACCATGACCTGGTAAATCTATAGCTAGAATGGCTAGATTTGGTGGTAGTAATGGAATTAATTTATCAAATGTTCCAGCATTATCTTGCCAGCCATGCAATGCCACAAGCGGTTGTCGATCAATTGGTCCCCACCATTTGCCTAAATTTATCATTATTGTACTATGATATTTTTCATTTTTTATTAATCCACTATATAATTAATAAAAATTTTTCATAGTTAAAATCATAATTAAAACTGAAAATATAAGTTACTAACCACTTATGTTACCCCATGGTACAGGTATCTGAATTTCCTCCACACCTAAAAATTATTAATATATTGTAGTAATGCTTAATTTGGAAAAGTTTTTAACATAAAAATATATTAATATATCAACTTACTATGTACATTGTGTTTATTTATATTTTCAGTAGGAGCATTGGTTTTTTCAATTATTGTATTCATTTGGATAATGATAAAATACTGGTAATTCTTCAAAATTTGTTAATTATATATAATCAACCACAAATCTTATTTCCTTTGTGCAAACTTTGTAAGATATATGAAATTAATATTTGTGCTATAGATGACATAAAAGAAATTATTTATCAAAGTCAAAATATGAATAACTTCTCAATTATGTATATAAAATAATATTATATATAGAAAATCATACCTTATTTTAAATAATAATATCACTTATTTTATTTTATTTATATTTTTCTGGACTGCTTGTTCTTATAAAAATCTTCTTAATAATTTAAAATTTATTTTATTATCATGTATAGATAAAACGTTTAAAATATTGTTAAGTGTAACAAAAAATTATTTAATTTAATATTATATAATTTTTACGATCATATATATATATATATATATATTAGATATATATGTAAATATATATATATTTAAAGATTCTGTGATTTTGACAAAAAAATATTTAAAATATTTAAAATGATAAATATTACTTTAATATGCATGTTTTAACACTCGATTTCTAATAATTTTCCAAATAGTTCAATTAAATTATATTTTTATAATAAGACATTGGAAGACGTATTAACTAAGTACTCGTACACTGTGTTTCATTTACGACTTCTGATAATTTTGTTAGGTTATTGATAATTTCATTCTTCTATATTAGTTTGTTGAGTCAGCAAAAATTTCAAGACTGGGTGGGAATTGTATAAGATTACTGATAAATAGGTAAATTGATGATAATGATGATTCAACAAAAAATAATTTTTGCAATTAAAAACATCAACTTTTAAATACGTTAAACTAACGTGGAAAAAATGTCTTGTAATTATTAATATTTACAGACTAATTTGCCTATATAGTCATATAAGGTATAATGTTGCTGTAATTGTCATATGTCATATAATAATATTATTATAACTGCAAATTTTTTTAGGTTTGGCGTTTTATAAAATTTCATTTTATCATTTGCTATATATGTATTGTTAAAATGGAAAATAAAGAATATATAGTAAAAACTATTATTCATGCAGGAACCAAAATGATTAATTTTGTACCGGGGACTAAAGTGCATATATTTACATTAATATTCTAATTAAGCACAAATTAATAATTATAATTGGAATCACATTTTAATTTTTAGGTAATTTTCCATTTTAAAACAATGACATGTGATCCAGAAAAAACAGTAATAGATGATAGTAAAACAATGGGAAATCCAATGGAGCTTGTTTTAGGAAAAAAGTTCAAACTAGAAGTATGGGAAGTTATTGTACAAAAAATGGCATTGAATGAAGTAGCTTGCTTTAGGGTTGACAAAAGTGTAGGTTTATAATAATATAAAAATATATTTTAATATTTAAAATTAATGTTTTAATAGTGTTTATTGTTTCAGCTAGTTACATCATATCCTTTTGTGTCTAAAACCTTGAGAGAAGTTGGAAAGCCACAATCAGAAAAGCGTAGTCATCATTGTTGTGGTGTCACTTTACAAAATGATGGCATTGGATATAATGATTTGAATGAACTTATCAAATATCCTCAAGATCTAGAATTTACAATCGGTATTGGTCACTTTCATGAAATAAACATTGATATTCCTTCTAATATATATATATATATATATTTTTTTTAGAACTTATTAAAGTAATATTACCTGATGAATATGAAAAGGAGTCATGGCAAATGACTGAAGATGAAAAGTTGAAAAGTATACCAGACACAAAAGAAAAAGGAAATGTATTATTTAAAGAGAAAGATTATAATGGCGCATGTGAAATGTATGCCAAAGGCATTGGAATATTGGAACAACTTATGCTTGCGTTAGTATATGAATATATATATTTTTCTCCTTTGTTACAGTATATTTGTTATCGTTATATGTCATTTGTAGTGAAAAACCAAATGAAGAAGAATGGTTAGCTCTAAATCATTTGAAAACTCCATTACTTTTAAATTACGCACAATGTAAATTAATTCAAAAGGAATATTATGCAGTTATTGAACATTGTACCACAGTTCTGAAACACGATCCAGGTTTGCTATTTTCTATTTCAATTACACGAGCATTTGAAATATGTTAATAATGGATAATAAAATTATTCTTAGATAATATAAAAGCATTATATAAAAGAGGTAAAGCATACATAGGTGCTTGGGATGAAGAAAAAGCTATTAAAGATTTAACAAAAGCTGCTGAATTAGACCCTACATTACAAAATACTGTTGAAAAAGAATTGCAAGTATTTTCTGCAGCTATTAAACAAAAAGATCAAATAGAAAAGAAGAAATTATCGAAGCTATTTAAATAAATAAATATATATTTAATTAGATCAATTATACAAATTACATATATGTATGTATTTTATTAGAAGGAATATATCTGTATAAAAATATTGTATTATGTATAAAAATATTGTACAAACAGGTAATATACTTTTGAAGTTTTAAAATTTTAGTTCATCAATTGTATTTTTATATATTTTAGTAGAAAAAAATTTCATAATTCGTATTATTTATGATCATAAAATTTATTCTGTACTAAATAATCAGTGTATGATAAAACCAAAATGATGAACATTATTTATCATTTATATTTAAGATAAATTACGAATAATTTATTATAACTTGATTTAACCTAAACCATGTGAGACTTTTAGGTCTTGACAACTATGCTCTTGTCAGGAAAACCGAAACTTGCCTATATCCCTTCAATTCGCTTTTTTTTCGTCATTATGCACAATGACAAAATGGGTGAAAGTCTAGACTGACTACTCCCTTACTAATTTCGGTGATTTTTGAATATATTGTGAAGGTAGTTTGAATAATTTCTTCTTCTAATGAGTACGTTGGACTTTGTTGAAAAAAAGGTCGTTTGGGATATCGATTTCTAAATGATAAAGATCGTTGAAATCAATGAAAAAGTGATTAATCTGCAAGTTCACCGGCAATCAGAATGGAGAAAAATACGAACGAGCAATGTTTCAAACTCATAAAATCTTATTACTAACATATATCATTAGTCACTCATATTTCGTATTATTTTCATTAATAATATATAACATATTTCATTAATAATATATAAACGATTTCGGCCGTTGAAAATGCAACTCAGTGAGTTCGTCTTAATAGATAACGTATTGTAAAAAAGAAAATATGTATGGTATCGTTTAAAAAAATAAATTGGATTTTGAAATTTCGAAATGGATGAATTTTGCAAGAAATAATTTATGACACATAATGTGCTTCTTTATTGTAAATAATATTTGCAGAAATATTTTATTGATAAATTAAAATTTTCATAAAATCGAGTTTACGGAATAAAGATAATTCATTCAGGTTGTGAATTTACACATTTGTAAATAAAAAGACGTCATAGTTAATTATGTTGTTCATAAAAATATTATATTTCAATCAATCTTTTCTAATACTTTTAAATAGGTGTTAATAGTCAAATATGTACTAAATTTTTCATTCTAATTTCCATTAGTCACTGTTTTAAATTCGCTGTTTATATTCCTTCATTGATGAGGTATCATTCAATTCAATAAATAATTCTCGAAACAGATCTGGCAACATTGTTCATATTTTTTTAATTTTAATTTTTACTACTAGTAGTGTTGCGGTTGTGAAATCGGTACAACAGGATGTGACACGAAAATGATAGGATTCTGAGGACCTTATTACTATGGACGAAAAAACATTGGATGCAATGTCTATTCATATACCTAGTCTGTGGTGTAACATATTATATTGAACTATATACATATGTACATTTTTTAAAATTTAAAATAAGTTTTAATACTTAAATGTGTGATAAATTATACATCGACTAACGTTTTTAGCATTAACACTTTAATTCAAAAGTAATTTCAATTTTCGCACATAATTAAAATCATTAACTAAGGACATCAAATATAATCTGCAGGAAATTAAATGTTCAAATGCTTCAAATAGAATTTGTAAATCTTTATACATGTATTTCGTAGATTAAATGTAATGTAGAAAGGAAGTTGGAAAATCTAATTAGAAAAATATTCTCTTAAATAACTTTTTAATAAAAGGAAATTTAGGCACAATGAAATATTCACTACATAGCTGTGAAAATAGCAATTGAATGTCGGATCTTTCTATTCTTAATTAATGACTAAAATGAAGAAAACTTTTTGGTTCTCAGTTGATAATATTTTTAGAATTTAGTTTTTACGCCATCTGTAAATCTTTTACTACAAATAATGACTGTCGTTCGACGGAAAAGTACCATGATTGGCATGTGGTTCCATTTATTTTACGCTATTTTAATTAAATTTAAAACATGGAATGTCTAATTTCCTTAACCACGAAACTATATAATTATTTTTAAGGTAATTACATAATTTAGTTGAATATCATGAAACTGTTACCCGAACATGATACAAACCTAACCTGTTATACCATTGATTTTAATTTTAATATGTACAATATATTTGTAATAATGACTTGTAAATAAATTCTTTCAGTGGTTATACTTCCTTTTTTTTTTAATTGTGTAACATGTAGAATGAACTTAGAAATATTCTTTGTTAGTCAAGGGAAGATCAAGAAAAGGATTGTATCAAAATTTATTCAAAAGTGTATTATGATATTTATTAAATAAGTTATTTGAGATTAATAGAAAGAAGGAATGCAATATGTAACTTTTAAAATTTTTAGGTTTAATGAATAGAATTATATAAAATGAAGCTTGTTTTTAAGAATGTCGATAAAGATGGAAAAGGGTGAGTAAATTGATATTCTTAATGAATAATAGTAGCGAACAATAGAATTTAAAGAAGAAAAATTCACATTATTAGGAGCGTGTCCCTTGTGCCAGAAAATACAGAAGATATATGGCATGCCTATAATCTTATTAGCGAAGGAGATTTTGTTAGTTGTTCTACTATTAGGTATGAAAATTAACATTAATTATGTATAATATAAATCTTGATATTTCACTTTATATTATTATACATATAGAAAAGTGCAAATGGAATCTGCAACTGGGAGTTCTAACAGTTATAGAGTCAGAACTACTTTAACTATATCTGTAGAAGGTATTGATTTTGATACACAGGCATGTGTTTTAAGACTGAAAGGTAGAAATGTAGAAGAAAATAAATATGTTAAGGTAAATCAGTTTAGAATTATCTATCAAATTATCAAAACTGTATATAATTTACAATTATTTGTAGATGGGAGCATATCATACACTGGATGTAGAACAAACTAGAAAATTTACTATTACTAAAGCTAAATGGGATTCTATTTCTCTGGAAAGAGTTGATACTGCATGTGATCCTACACAGGTGAAATTATAGTAATAAGAATAATAACAAAACTCAGTATTGGAATGTTAAATAATAAATCAAAATATTTTATTTTAGAATGCAGATGTTGCTGCTGTGGTAATGCAAGAAGGTATAGCACATATTTGTTTAATAACTTCCAATATGACAATAGTCCGTGCAAAAATAGATCAAGTTATTCCTAGAAAGAGAAAAGGAAATGTTTCTCAACATGAAAAGGTTATATATATGAAACTTTTTTGTTTAGAGTAATCTTGAATATTGAATAAAATTTTCATATTAAATATATATTTTAGGGTTTAACAAGATTTTATGATAACATAATGCAAGGGATTTTGCGACACATTAATTTTGATATTGTGAAATGTATTATTCTTGCAAGTCCTGGTTTTGTCAAAGATCAATTTATGGATTACATGATACAACAAGCCATTAAATCAGATAATAAAGTAATATTAGAAAATAAAGGAAAATTTTTACTTGTGCATTCTAGTTCTGGTTTCAAACATTCATTAAAAGGTATATTAAGCTTAAGTGAACATAGTAATGCATGTTATTATTTCTTTTTTTCTTTTACAATAGAAATATTAGCTGAACCTTCAGTAACTTCACGGATTTCGGATACAAAAGCATCAGGTGAAGTGAAAGTACTAGAAACATTTTACACAATATTACAGACTGATCCTTCCAGAGCTTTTTATGGAAAGAAGCACATCCAAAAAGCTAACGAATCTCAAGCTATTGAGACATTACTCATTTCAGATAAATTATTTAGGTAAATAATATATATTATATACATGATACAAAAGAATATTATATCTGTACGATATAATATTCTTTTTTTTGGCACAATAGATTATATATACGATTGTAATAATTATATCTAGATGTCAAGATATTAATGCAAGAAAAGAGTATGTGGAATTAGTTGAAAGTGTAAGAGATTATGGTGGGGATATAAAAATATTTTCTAGTTTGCATGTATCCGGTGAACGTAAGTTATTATTGTTAGTTAAGAGTTATAAATTATTTAGGTTTTAGTATTTTTAAAACATTTTGAATGATATTTCATGTAGAATTAGAGCAACTTACTGGAATAGCAGCTATACTGCGCTTTCCCATACCAGAATTGGAAGACGAAAGTGATGGCGAAAGCGATTCAGATGAAGATAATTAAGAAGTCTAAAATAATACGTTAATGTATAACTTTGTATATGTTTGTGCTGTGCACAATCAAAAATATAATAAAATAAAATATATTAATAACAAAAAGCGTAAATTTAATATTTTTCTTATTTGTTGTTTTTCATTTTGTTAAACGTTTAAAAATATGTTATTATATTCGTCATGTGGTGGCGCTGTTTCATGTTTTTAAAGCGTTGCGTTATTTTCTAAGAACACGTGAATTCATATTGTAACTTATTTTTTATACGTTTATGTAGTTTTATACTTTTATTGTATAAAAACTATATAAAAATTGTGTTACAAAATGGTTGTAATAGGGAAGAAAAAGGTATTTGTTAAAATTATTTTCTTAAAAATCATTTCTACAACTAAGTGGTTTTAGTAATTGAGGTTACTGTGTTGTAGAAGAAGTATATTTAAAACATTATTTTTCAAAATATTTTTGTTTCATTGCTAAAATTTTCTTTTATATTTATAGTATGAGTCTGGAGAGGGAGCACAGTTCATGTCAAGGAAAGCTGCTTTAAAAAAATTGCAGCTTACGTTGAAAGATTTCCGTAGACTGTGTATATTAAAAGGCATATATCCAAGAGAACCACGTAATCGTAAAAGAGCCCAAAAGGGACAACCTGGTATCAAAACATTGTATCATAAAAAAGATATTCAATTTTTAATGCATGAACCAATAATATGGAAACTAAGAGAATTAAAGGTACATGAAATTTTGACTCTTATAATATTATAATTTAAGATTATTAATTAAATATTAAAAGAAATTATATTTTAGGTATTTACTAGAAAAGTTGGAAGAGCAAAAGCTTTGAAAGAATTTTCAGATATGAAAAGATACCTACGTAATCATCCTACTTTGAAATTAGATCACATTGTTAAAGAACGTTACCCAACATTTATTGATGCACTTAGAGATCTGGATGATTGTTTAACTCTATGTTTTTTGTTCAGTACATTTCCATCTCTTAATCACGTACCAAGAGATCAGTCTTTATTATGTAGAAGATTAACAGTTGAATTTTTACATGCTGTAATTGCTGCTAAAGCTCTACGTAAAGTGTTTGTATCCATTAAGGGATATTATTATCAAGCTGAAATCAAAGGACAAACAATAAATTGGATTGTGCCTCATCATTTTGGTTTTGAGCCTCAAGCAAAGAATGATGTTGATTTTAAAATGATGTCTATATTTGTAGAATTTTATATCACGATGTTAGGCTTCGTTAATTTTAGGCTTTATCATACTCTTAATTTATATTATCCCCCAAAACTCACTACTCATGGTAATTTTTCCAGAACATTTTTAAATAGATGATAAATTTTATGTTAATATAATAAAAATGTTTTATGTGTAGATAATAGTGAAAAGATACTTGTGGATGAAGAGGCATATGTATCAGAAAGAATAGCTGCATTAAATGTACCATTAGTAAATTTGGATGCTACATTGCAAAATACAGAAGATGAAGAATTGGAGATGGATCAGTTTACAAATGTATGAATAAATTAAGTGAATATTTTACTTTTTTTAATATATATATATATATATATATATAAAATTATATATAATTACTTATTTTAGGAAAGTGATGCTACAAAATTGGAAGAAGCTAAGATAGAAGCAGAAAAAATAAAAACATTGAAAACACTTTTTAAAGGTTTGAAAGTTTTCTTAAATAGAGAAGTACCAAGGGAGCCTTTAGTTTTCATTTTACGTTGTTTCGGAGCCGAAGTATCCTGGGATAAATTACTCTTTGTTGGAGCGTCATTTGACGAAAACGACGAAACAATAACACATCACATAGTAGATAGACCTAATATGACCAAACAATATATTTCTAGGTAATGCTTACAAATGTTTTTTTTATTATTGAATCTCTAATTGATAATTACATACCAATTAATATTTTTATAGATATTATGTACAGCCACAATGGGTTTTTGATTCAGTGAATGCTAGAGAATTGTTGCCTGTAGAAAAATATTTAATGGGTTATGTACTTCCACCACATCTTTCACCATTCTCGGATAATCAGCGTGATCAAACGTATATTCCACCAGAAGAGCGTGCTCTTATGGATCCTGATTTTAGACTCAATGATGGTGCGTATTTGTATTTTAAGCAAATAATTAATAGCCAATAAGTATATCTCTTATTTATTAGAAGAAGATGAATCTGAAGAAGAAACAGAAAATGAAAACGAAAAAGAAGAAAATAAAACAGAAGAAGAAGATTTAGAAAAAGATTTGAAGGAAGACATTGAAACGAATAAGTCCGACGACGTAAATGAAAAAGAACAAGAACGAGATAGATTGAAAAAGGTTGGTCATTCGAAAATATATATAATTTTGTATTTTTTTTATTTATTGTTTGCTTTTAATTACAGAAAATGAAAGTTAAAACTGGAGAAGTGACAAAGGAGGATCCATGGGAGAAAAAACGGCAGGAGAAGCAAGAGTACCGATTACGAGAACGAATGATCAAAAAGAAACATCGCAAGTTATATAGGAGTATGATGGAAGGACGTAAAGAGAGAGCTAAAGAAATATGGCTTCTTCGTAAAAAGAGGCGGCTGCACGACACCGCTGAGAAACAAAAGCGCAAGGAAGAACGTAAACAGAAAAAAATTAAAGTTGCTGAATGAAACTAAATAAAAAGAAAAAAAAAAGTAATAAGTTTAATGATTAATTTATTTTTGTTATTCATATGTCATATTTTTAAATTAACTGTATCTAGAATTACATCTTTCTACGTTCGCTATATTATCTTTCTACTTTTTTTTTTTATATTATTATATCAATAATTTCAAACGATCTTACTGCAAAACAACGACTTTCTCGATAATGGTAGATACAGTTACGTGTAATGGAGAAATGCCTTTAATCCAGTCCTCCCACCTACCGGAAACCCACGCATCCAACGATCCTGGTCCCTGTTCTTCCACCGAAGGACTTTGAAGGCCAAACTACCTACACACATTGCCTACGCAACCGCCATATATGCGAATGTATGTACAAACGTCTCTCCATGAAAGTTATTCATCGCGTTTCATCGCAAGTTGACCCCTCCGATTTAATATCTGTGCGTAAAAAAATTTTGCACGTTCGACGCTGCTCCGTTAATGGTACGTTCGAAAGGTGCATTGATCTCGAGTATCTTGATCGTGGAACATTCTTAATCTCGAATTCGTTTCGGTCATTCTATCGCTAATGTGTCTTTGATTACTTCCGTGACTTTCGCTAGACGAATTAGCATTGAAGGTTGAATCTATTTAGTGGCGGATAAATTACCGTCGATGCATCCGGTCACTCTAGGCGTACTGGGTTCGTGAGTCACCTTGAATCGAACATTGGAATTGGATGCGAGAACAAGATATCCATGAGCGGGTATCTCGCGGGGATTTCTGTAATATTGCAATTTTGTAATTTTTTTGCTTTTCTTTTTTGGCGTAGACACACCGTCACGAGGAGAGAAGTTGAAGGATCCGTGGGCGAGTAACATAAATTCAACTTTAGGAATTTTGTTTAACGATCTCATCGTCACGCTTGTAAAAGCAAGAGTATGTAGCGAATCTTTCATACAGTGAAAGTAAACACCCGTCTGGTTACTCGTTGGATTTCTGAGTATGTGGTCATCATCGTGATTTTCACCGACCGATCATCGGGACAATTTTAATTTCAAGGCACGAACCTTCCCATTTGCAATGCTATACGATCAACATCGAAGCTCTAACAGTATCGTGTTTCTAAATCATAAAGAACAAAAAACTTTCGGTTTCGAAGGCAATAAAAATTGATGGAAATTTAAGCGAGAGAAAATGACGTAAATGGTTTCTACGTAAATCGGCTCGAACTTGAGCAACATACTTCCTTTCGACAAATTGGTTCTCGGTTTAAAAGATCGACAAGCGGTCATATCTTGCGTAAAAGAACACGGTAGTTCGGTATCTTGGTAAGGTCAATGATTAACTAATGTCTATTTATAAAAATCAACAGGTGGTAATTTTTCCTTTTTTTTCTCGACACAGATTTTTCGCCAGAACGCTCTTGAATTTTGGAATCTGTTTCTCATCGATTTCTTCGGCTATTTGCAGTGGTGACTGAACCGATGTGTCGTGACACTGGCGTTAGTGAAGTCACCAACACTCAGTTCGATCTAGGCATGCGAGCTGTGTGCAGATTGGGTGCTTACGTCACCCTTGCTATTCCTGTTCCAGCCCATCTCCATTCCGAGTATCCTTAAAACGAGCATCCCTAGAACCTGCAGCGCAATCTTATAACGTCCTAATTTCATCGACCTTGATTATCTGTGTTCTTCGACAAACTATTACTCTTTCGTTAGAATTTTAAATTCCGCGCAATTTCCACTGAAAAGCGCGCGTTTCATTCGAGGAAAACCGGGAAATTTAATTAGCTGAAATCGAGTAAAATTAATGATGAATATAACTTTGTCAAATGTAAATAATTTCATTAACCAGAATTCTTTTTAAACTGGATTTTTAATAGACCATTTTTCCGCACAGTGATTGCGTTTGAACATTTATTTGTTGATGTTTTATGAACTTGGATATATCTTATTTTAAACGTAGGATGGAGGTGATTCTCCGTGAATAAGTTGAAAAAACTTTTTTCATTTAAGGCTTCATTTTCAAAAAAATTAATTTTAACAATTTACTAAGCTATTTATTAATTATACTTGTTCAAAATTTATTTTCTTAAAAGTAGAACCTTAAGCGAAAAAATTTTATATATATTTTTCACTTATTTTCGCGGATAGAATAATCTCTTACCGATTATTCATTTATTGTTCAATTCAGATTAGCTAAATTTTCAAATTTAATTTTGCGTGAAAACAAGTCCTCAAATGAATTTTATTCTTTCTTCTCGACTTCTTTCTTCACGTAGAGTTACCCTTTGCCCATGCTTGCCACATTTTATATAAAGGAAAGTTGCGAAGCAAGGATTATTTTCTGGGATACTATGCTGTCTTTTTTAAAGCATTGATATTGAATTTGGAAGTGAATACGTGGGACACGACTGCGAAAATATTTGGTAGTGGTAACGCATTCGACTGT